AGTTGCTCAATGCGTAGCTTAAATAATCCCAGACCCAAAAAGCCCAAAATCTATATTATAGTTTAAGAGTTTTTTTTCCCCTAACTTTCAATCACAATCTTTTAAACCTTAAATTCTTAAAATCTATACATTCTGTATGTACTTCTCAAAATTAGCATCCGGAAAAAAAAAAAAAAAAAAAAAATTAATAATTATTTTTACCATAACTTTTTTTCTACTATTTTACTTATCTAAGCATATATCGGTAGCAATGATTTCTTCTCTTTTGAGGATGTTAAATCATATTTACTTTCAAAAGAAAATTTTGACCTCGAAGTACTGATGAAATGCTGAATGTTTATATTACATGTAAGAAGGCGATCAACAAGAAAAAAAAAAAAAAAAAAGTACCAATAATTAATGGGCATGAATCTAAGGATGTTTTTTTGCAAACATTGTAATAAGTCGAATAGGCACGATGTTTCCGATTGCTTAAAATTAAAGAAAAAACTCGAAAGAGAAGAAAACAAGAAAAATACTAAGGTAATTGCAGAAGTCGTTTTTGGTGAGATATAATCGATGATGTTCTTTTGGCTACTTCTCCAAAAAGTAGTAAAACTTCTGATTTTTATTCCGATTGTGCCTACCATGTTTGTTGTTCACAAAAGGATCGCTTTATTGATTATCGCTTGGTAAAGAATAGATATATTTCAATGGGCAACATTGCAAAACTCATGGCACTGACTTCGTTCAGATCAAGATACAAGATGGTAAGATCATGACTTTATCAATATATTCCTGATTTAAAGCATATTATCATCTCTCTAGGCACTCTTAATAATTCTAATGGTGTAAGATATCGGCTCAAGGTCGAGTACTCAAAGTTTAAAAAGGTGCTCATGACATTATGAAGATCGTTAGACATAAATGTTTCTATGTATTACATAGTTCTTTTATCATGGCTTATTCATTCACATCATATCCAAGTCCTTATTATATGAGTATCTACATGTCACAATATTCTAATCTCAAGTTATGGCCAAGGTTTTCGGGTGACATGTCCACTTAATAGTTAATGCCTCTTTAGGTTCATACATGTCCACTTAATATCCCATTGGGTTCATACGACAAGCACATATAAAATTTGGTCTAGGGTAAGATTGTTGGGTGTAGCCCAAATTTCCTAGGCTCATTATTTTGGTGGGGGTATTTATGCATATTTTAGAAGCTTTCAGAAAAATCGAGCAAGGTTTGTTGAAACTTTTCAAAAAATTCTTGAACTTGAAAGTAAAAAAAAGATATAGTTCTTATAAATACTAGAAGAATGTTGAAGGGACTAAAGAGTTCTAGAATATTCTAGCCATTTCTTTCAACCTCCATCCTCAGCTATAAATATTGGTTATTGACATTCAATCAATATATACACACAAGAATCCAAACCTATACACAAGCCTTCATACCTTTCTACCCCCTTTGTATATAATCCACTTTCTCACTACGAATCCACCTCTCTCTTTTATACTACTTATTGTGAATTTAGTCCCTAATATAATTATGATACCTTGTACTCTCCTATTTTCATATAATCCATTATTTCGATGCTCGTCATTGTGGGTTATTTTGCCTCGATTTTTCTCACATCCAATATTATGGGTTCCCTGACCTTTACTATTTGTCTTGTCTTTACTTTTTCTTTTTGTTAATACTTTTAAATCCCTACATTTTAATTTTGTTTCTATTGCTCACTCACCAATCCCTAATTTAATTTTTTAATTAAGTAATGTATGACAACAATAAAATAAATATTGAGGATTTATAAAATAATCCTCCACTAGAAATTGATAAATTTTCATTTATCGGTTATACATATTGATCAAATTAAATTCCAAAAATAGATAAAAAAAAAAAGAATGTCATCTCATATTTTCTGATGGTTTTAAAATGGTTGGAATTTTCCGACGGTATTAAAAAAATTCCGATGGTCAAAGCCGTAGGAAATTTCCGATGGTGATAATTAACATCGGAAAATTATAAGAAAATTGAAAGTAGTTGGAAATTTATTAGCCTAGACAAAGAACACAACCCGCCAGAAATCTCACCAGAAGTTGTATCTAAAGACTAAATCTTTGCTACAGTAACCACAAATAGTATACCAACCCTAGCGTATTTATAATTTTTTTTTTTATCATACCCTTAGGCTTATCTTTAGTCATCCCCGTAACAGATATATTACTTCTATAGGGAGTTTGTCAGAGGTGATTTTGGATTTCAATTTGTTTTGCAGCACAAAACTGAATTGGTTTTAAAAAGTGTAATGGGCTGAAATCTAGGCCAAATATAAATGATTGTATTATTTTTAATTTAAATTGTAACATTATATTCTTCGACAAAATTGATTAAAAATTTGATTTTATTAGAGTTAGTGGTGGAGACATCTATACGACTATACTTTATACTAATATAATCACCGAATAAGACATTTGACATAAATATATGAAAGACTAGTCTAGCCCCTGTGCCATGTACGATATGTCTAATTTGTGCCATGCATGGTAACTTGGGAAGTATAATTTTTGTAAAAAAAAAAACTATATCTGACAAATAAAATTTGTGAAATATGTCTATTACATATATAGAAATTATATCGCCATAACTTATATTTTAAGGTAAAGAAAAAGTTTAATATTTAATCTCATGTTTCAGATAAAATTAAAATAAAAACGTTTGGCAATTTGGACTTCATAAGAGCATGCACATTGATGAGAAAAATCTAAAAATTCTTAATCTTTTTAATCATATACTTTTTCATTTTTTTTATCTCATATTTCACTAATTGTAAATTATAGAAATAGTTAATAGAAAATAAACTCAATTATTATTGCTTCATAAGATTTCAAATCAATACTGTATATAGAATTATTTTTTTCCCCTAATGAACCTCAATATTGTACAATAATTATGATAATTCTAATGTTAATATTGTAAATTTGGCTTTGCGATTTTTTACTCTCCACCATCTTTTCGAATAATCTAAATTATATTTTATTTTCCCTTAATTAAAAGGTCTAATAATCTTTTGTGACTATTAAAGGTAATCATGATGAGTCGGGCTTTGCCCAAATAAGACCCATTTCAAGTTAAGCCTTCGGCCTAGGCCCCACATGGCCGAAAAAGTTGTACCCAAACCCACTTTAATTCGGGCCAAACAGACTTTTTAGGCAAAAAAAATTAACAAAAATGGTTTTTTTGCCCAAACCCGAGTTTTTTTTCAGCCAGGTTTTGTTTGATTAGGCCTAGTGACCATATGAGTAAACACTTATTTATAATTGCCCTTTTAATAAATATTTACATCATAATATTACTTAAACAACAGACTAAAATCTCTAGTAAAACTACTAGCCCAACATAGACGTATATCACCTCTATATCTAACCAAATCATTTCAGTGGAATTAAATATTACACTAATCATTAAAAACAAGAACAATTCATGATCGGGCAACACTAACTTATATTATTACATTTTCAATTTACGGATTGATGCTCTATATGATATCGTCGTTCTTTCTTATTATACAAAAATGTCTTTGAAGCTATCCAAATTTATTGTTTTGTTTAATTTGAAGCTATCCATCAATAGATATTTTATTTTTTTTAAAAAAAGGATATCAAGGAGATGTCATTTGTCACTACGTCCGGCGTGTATTTTAGGTATGTGTAGCATTCATGAATGTCGAATATAATAATAAATTTATAATCTTAATCAAGTACGGTGTCTCAGCAGATGATAATAATTATTTTTGTATTTACTAAAATATTAATTTGCTACGCCTACTAGTTCTACGGTTCAGAATTGTAGCAATACCCCTAAAAAACCCGTAGCAAATGCCAATTTTTTCACTAGTATTTAATTACTTAATATACAATAATGATTGATATTACAATATCCTAGATTTAGGCATATGTTATAGTTGTCAAACATTCATAATTACGTAGTAGTAAATTTTCATTAATTTAAATGTATAGTTTATATTTAAATTAAAATATAATATTAGAGGTATTTGAAAAAAAAATAAAGTGATTTTGTAAAGTAATTTCTTTAATATCAATCAATTATATATATTTTTTTTTTTTGGAAAAATCTAGTATTACTTTCTTCAAAAGATAACTAAAAAGTTCTTCGAAAAAAAAAATTAATTAAAATGAAGTTGGAATAATATTTTGGGTTGATGTGTAAGGAAGAGTTGTGTACACCAAATAAAAAGGAATTTGTTTGTCATAAATATAATATAAAACATAAGTTATTTCATTTATTTCAATAAAAGTGAAGCTTTTTTTTTTTTTAATAGAAATTTCCCTCCTAAACTTTTTTTAATGCATAATAATTAATTTGCCTACAACTTCATGATTTATTTAGTTATTATGATTGACTATTTACTTACATTACTTCTATCTTTCAATTAAATCCTTCGTTTTTTTTTTCTTTTTAATGTATCATGTTGAGTTTTACGGACTTCTAAGTAATTTTTGATGTAGAGAAAAAATATAAATGGGGCTAGTGTGATAAGAAATTAGAATTAATTAGTCAAAAAGAAAAGGATGCATCTAAAATCAAAATTGAAACTTCTTTATTGGGAAAGTGATGCATTTAAAAAGAAACGAAAAGCGTGCTTAAAATTATTTGTCACATAGATCTGCACTAGCTTTGTGCCACATCCATCATTAATCAGCATTGCGCCATGTCATCCTTGACATTGTAACATTTAATCCATGTCATTAGTGTATAGCAATCCGATACAATGCCCAGGCTGCACACTATGTATTAATTTCAAAAATCGAGCATGACTCGGAAATTACCTAGTTTAAGAAATTCTGGGTCCTTCCTTTTAATCAAACTTTGCTCAGTGTTGTGCCCAAAAAAATCAATTGAACTAACACAATCCAATTTGGATTCGAACAGTCCAATCAAATATGGGTGAACCTTTTCAATAGCCCTACCCGTTTAAATATGGGCTTTTCCGCCAACAGATCTCTCTTTCCAGGAAAACTGAACTCTTTTTGCTCTTCACTATTTTTTGAGTTCCAAAGCATATTAAAAAAGATGAGTTTCAATTCCAAATCATAGCATATCTTTTTTCAGTTCTTAGTTTCGAGTTATTTGGTAGATAAATTAATCAGTTTCCGCCATGGAAACCCTTTCAAGCTCTGTTTTTCTGACAAAAATCTCAGAAAAAAACAACCCAGGTTGTCAATTACCCCAATTTTCGATCAAACGTTGGAATAATCGAAGTGGGTGTTTGAGAATTAACGAAAGTTTGAATCTTGGTTCGTGGGGGTTAACTTCTGAGAAAGTTGGGATTTCTGGGTCATCAAGGGTTTTGGCTGCTTCGAAAAAAGTTTCAGGTGGTGAAAGTGAGAATAAACCTAGTTCTGATGATGCCCATGCTACTGCTTCTGATGATGTTCTCACTTTTCCCGAGGTAATCTATTCTCTCTCCTCTTAATTTTTTGAATTGCATTTAAAAAAAAAAAAAAAAAAACAGAACAAAAACCCTGAAATTTCTCAATTTTTAGAATGTGGCTTGAATGATTTCATTCAAATGTGTTTGGTTCATAAGGATGATTGTTATGTGGAATTTGAGAGAATTTTTTAGAGTTTTCTAGTTGGTGATGATTTATGATTGAGGGTTTTGTGTGTGCTTCTTGGGTTTAAAATTTTTTTCTTTTCCTTTCCTCTTTGGGAGTAATGTGATTTTTTGATGTATGTTTCTCAAAGGATTGGTTCAATTTGAATTTATTTATTTATTTTTTTTTTTTTTCAGTAGTTGACATTTTCATTATGATGGAAGGTGGATATATTAAGGTTTTTGTTAGACTGTGACTTACCTTTAACATACTTCTGTAATTTGAAGCTGAGTGAGCTATATAGTGTTGTCTTTCGGTTGCAAAATTGATAGCTATATTGTTTCCCTTGGTGGAGAGAAATTATTGGAATGTAGTTTGGACTAATAATTGCCTAGATGTTGTGTTTTTGTAATGCTTTAAGTCTTTGGTTATTGTGTTAATGGTGATACAGCAAGAGGGTGCAATATATTGTATTCTGTATGAGCTTGAAGTGGAGGAAATTGCAATGAACTTTGTATTGGCAGTCTACACTATCACATTGCATGTGGTCTAGTATTTCTAGTCATAAAAATGGAGGTTTAAGTTTATCCATGGATCATGGTCTGATTATATGCTCTCTTCATTCCAAATCTATCTATACTATATATTAAAAGGCGTTCATAAAATTGTGTATGTGCCACGTGTATCCTTTCATACACTGGTATAGCGCCACATCATTATTCAACAACCTTTAGGTTCATGCCACATCATCATCCAATGATCTTAATTAAAAATGCATGCGAAGAGATTTGAACCCCAAACCTCATTGAATGGAAACCATATGTATTACCATCTTGACTAGAATTAATTCATGCTCTATTAATCCAAATTTATATATAAATACATACATGTATTAGAATGTAGAATAAATTATTGTTGTCATCGTATTCTAATTTACCCACGTTAAAAAAAAATTAATAAGTCTTTTAAAGCGTCTAATATAAAAATAAAATTATTCAAAGTATCACACGGGGCCAAGCCCGGGTCACACACTAGTTTTATCTGTTAAAAGTAGGATTGATGTTTAACGAGTGAACGAGTTGCTTAAAGAGAACCCTAAATTATATATCTATTTTGTGGCATTTCTTTGGGGAGAGGGGAGTGGGAGGATGTTAAATATGAACGAATCGTTCACAAGGACTTCATTTTCTCTGGAGGTCAGACTGCCGTCTTTGTATTCTATACCTTGGCTTGATATGACTGAGCGCTGGAGTATGGTTTGTCTGGTTTGTGATTAGAAGTAGAATGTTTTCTTTTCTTAATTATAGTCTGTGAACGAGTGTATGAAATGGCTGCTTCGGCTTGTTGTGATGTCTTCTTTCGCATTCTGAAGGCTATTAATAGTCATCCAACCCAAAGTCTCAAGAGAAGCTTCAATGATGCCTCAAAGATGGTGTCAACACCAGCAGGATCAGGAAGTGGGTCTGGAGGCACCAGGGCAGGACTTTTCAGAACGCCAATTTCTGGTGGAGTTCAAAGTGCGACATCTGCACATGGGTTACCAAGTCCGGCATTGGCAGTTCGTAATCTAATGGAACAGGTAAATTCCTGTGATCCCCTCCACTCTTATTTACAATTGAAGATAGAAACATGTGGACTAATATTCTGTATTTCTTGTTTTAGGCTCGGTTTGCTCATTTGTGCACTGTTATGTCTCGTATGCACCATCGACGGCAAGGTTATCCATTTGGCTCTCTGGTGGATTTTGCTCCTGATGCCATGGGACGTAAGTGACATTGTTCTGCATATCATTTATTGTGTAGTTTACTAGTCATCTCTCCATTGTAAAATAAAATGAACCTATGGAGCTCAGTAGAAGTTAGTTTCTTATCGTCTGACAAGAGCCGTGTGAATTTCCAACAGGATGATATGTTCCAGCATTAAAATATTTTGAATTGGATATTATTGTTGGTTATGTTCTATTCTAATTTGATGATACTTGATATGATCGACCTAAATATCCATCAATTTCTTAGTCACCATGCCTCCTTCCATCCCCCTCAAAGAAAAAGGGCTGAAAACAATAAAGTGAAAAATATACGTACAGAAATAAGAAGGAAAGATTAATTGTTAAGGATTTCTGCATGTGTTATACCCAAGAAGCATAATTTTTATCGTCTATTGTTGCAGATCCAATTTTCTCTTTTTCACCATTGGCTATCCACACAAGAAATTTGTTGGCTGATCCACGATGTACACTTGTTGTACAGGTTTGTCCGTATACATTGTGTTGTCTACTAGTGTAACTTTTCTGCTTTTCCGTTTATACATTTTATTGACCATTAGGATTCATAGATACCTGGATGGAGTGGCTTATCTAATGCAAGAGTGACAATTTTTGGCGATGTCTACCCACTTCCTGAAGATCAACAGGTGATTGATGGTTAATTTTATACCTTTAGCTTGCTTAAACCTATTTTCTTTGTATATTTATGCTTGGGGAGTCTGATGCACCGTTAGCCTAAGAGTTATTATAGTAGCAGGTTTTCAAAAACGTTTCTGGTAGCAAAATACTCAAATTTACGCAGTTGGTCATCCTCTTTGTGCTGTTCACCAATAACTGTTCTTAGCTTCTTACTGTCTGTCTTTCAGGAATGGGCTCATAAACAGTATATAAGAAAGCATCAACAAGGGCCTTCTCAACAGTGGGGAAACTTCTATTACTTCAGGATGCAAAATATAAGGCAATACTTTGTTTCTTTTATCACTCATTTACTTCGCAGATGAATGCACAATTTCTCATAAGAAATTCTAATTTTATTTCCTGATTGTGAGAATCTTTTATTTGAATGGACCTACAAGTTTATTGTTGAGATATTATTGTTTGACCTTAATCAATCATCATCATTCGCCAACATAACAGTATGCTCTGTATCTAGTTCTATGTGTTCATTGTATTTCTGTCAGATGATTGGCTTACTGGTGTTGAATGTTTGACCTGCTTCTTTATGGTATGAGAGGCTTCTTTCTCCCCCTAAAAATGGACTTAAGCTAGCTTACCCGACAATTTATGTCATTGTTTTGAGATTAAATGGCTGCCTTTCATAAGCTTTTCAGTCTCCCCCCCCCCAGCACACACTCACAGACAAAAAAAAAGGGAAATTGTTTTGCAGCTTTTTTTCTCAAATGCGTATGAAGTAGACTTCACTTTCTGCATAGCAAAGGATCCCCCCTTTATAGTTGATACTTAAGGGTTCCTTACCTTGTATCTTATTTATATATCGTGGCTAGTCTACTTAACTAATGAGTCTACTTATTTCATGAATAGCATATCTTATATCGTGTAGCTGATTTGTTTTCCCCTGAACAATGAAAGCAGTGATATCTATTTCATTGGTGGCTTCGGTACAGTCGCTTGGGTTGATGTTAAGGAATACGAAGACCTAAAACCAGATAAGATTGCTCTGGAAGGAGGTGAACAGTATTTAAAGGTAATTTGTGCTAGTTTTCTTGTTTCTCTAGTAATTAATGCAAAAAGTGCTCACTTTTAGACTTTATCAAAGAAGCATATGTAACATGGAAATTATTGTCATGATTTTCAGGAACTCAATGCCATCTTCTCAAAGCCTTTGAAAAAGCTTTTATCCACCGAAGTTGAGGTAGATGACGCAGCTCTCATTTCGATAGACAGCAGAGGAACCGATGTTCGGGTTCGTCAAGGGGCACAGGTATGTCATTCTTTTCAACTTCACTTAACCTGTATGTCAATATTTTTTTTCCCCCTCTACTTTCTTCTTTGGTTTTTGTTTCATTTTGTATGTTTGAATTGCCCCTTGTTCCGGTACTAGTCATGATAATTCCCATCTTTGTGATAAGCAATATCATCAAATCTCCTGGCTTCGAAATGCCACTTTACAGAGTGTTAAAGGCTTCTTTTTTCTTACAGTTCAACATACAGAGGATATCTTTTGAAGACGGAAAGGTTGTTGAGACTCTTGAGGAAGCCAAATCTGCTCTTCAGCAATTAATTAACAATGGGCAGCTGTACAATATTCAGAAATGAACGCTATTGCCTGAGTGAGAAATTTCATTAGTAACCAAAGCCCCTTAATAATGTATTATGGGAGAGTTTGCATTGTCGTGTCTAGCTAAAGATGTGGCAGTATGAACTTTACAGCAGCTAACGAGCTAGGGATCTTCGCAACGCACGTGTCTCTTTTTCTCCTATTCATATAAAATAGTTGTTTTTATAGAATAAGTATAGATTTTAGAAGAATCAACATCTTTCATCCTGTTCCCATAACTAGTCTAAGTTCTAGGCGTTTGTGACGCGTGTATCAAACTCGAGAATAAAAATTTTGTTCTTTGTAAGTTATGATGCTCACTTGTTTGCTGTAGTATTGATCTCCCTTACATGTCGGTAGTAGGTACCATCTTTGATAATATTCTCGGATCAACGGTTACTTTTAGCTTGTTGATTGGCATATTGTTTAGGTACATTTCAGCCCTTATCAGGCTGTCAAAGTTGAGGATGCGTGTGTGTTCATAATTATTAGCCAGTATAGGTGCTCAGCAGCCGTTGTTTTAGTGATGTTATGCTAGTGAAAAGTATTGAATCAATACCTTTCAGCGTAACATCACTCAAACTAGTTATTGATGATAAATGGCGAATCTTCGGACTAGAATCTTCTCTATTTATTAATGTGTTGCATTACGTATTACTCGTATATGGAATTTGATTCTTTCTAGCTCTTTATTTCTAGTTCCAACAGTGAATTACAACCCCTCACCAAGGAAAATGAAACAATTCTCGAATCTCTCGACTAAGTTTGGCCCGGAGGACCTTCTAACCTCAATGTTGGGAGTTCAATTCTCACTGTGTGCACTCTAAAGGAGAGGAGGTAAGGAGCCCATCATCCTTTTCTCCACTCCAAAGTGAGTAGTTTGCTAATTCGAACTGTGTTGATTAGTGAGGGGTTTCAATCTAGTAGGGTTTTTAATTTTCATCTTTCCTACTAAAAAAGGTCCATTTATTATGTAAATCACTATACTAAAATTTACTTTCTTGAAAGTTTTTCTTTCCGTCTATTTTTTTTTTTTTCCTTTTTTCTACCTGACAAGACGAATGATCCTTGCATTGTATGGAAAACTTGATAGATCTTACTCCGGTAAAAAAAGGCCAAGCAGTGAGCTGGCAATAGTTTTGGATGCGATTAGAATCTTAATTGATAAGCTTGAGAAATTCAGATAAGTATAATGTCACTGGCTTTATGTCATTTAGTCAATATAGATTGCCTATGATAAAAAAAAAATATAATTACTTTGGATAATGACATTTATGATTATCTTATGTTCGAAAGTCAAGCAATAAACTTCTGGAGGTAGCACATCTTTTCTCACTTAAAAACGTGAGAAAAACTTTGTTTATGGATAATTATATCATTATATATAATGGAACTCATAATCAAACAAAGTGTAATGTAGGGAAAAAAAAACATCGTTTCAAAATTATTATTTTTACTATAGAATTCACTTATTGAAAATTTATTCTACTAGCTAATTATAATTGATTTAAAGCTTATGTTTTACGGATTAATAGTTACATTTGTTCTTAAAAGTAGTTGTATATTTTACTCAATACTTTTTAAATCTTACGAGTACTTCTTATACCAATATTATTAATATTTTTATAATTCAATTGATTATTATGTGTAAAGTAAGAGTACAAGGCCTTACACAAATATTCTCTATGGACTTTTTACTTTACACAACTTTCTTGAAAGAATTTTTAGAGGATTAGTTTCACCTAGTCCACCTTGGTATGTACACAAAATAATCTAATTTGGTACTCCGTATGGAAAATGACATGATTGACATCCATCATATAGCCGTGAGGAAAACAAACCTATTCTACTAGAATTCTAAATTAGTAACATGATTAAAATTCACTTTATCGTTTAAGGAGGACAACCTATCCAAGAATACGAAAAGCTGGATAATTAATTTAAAATTTTAAATTAGTGGGAGTAACACCAAGGGTTTGCAAAAGTGAGCTTTAACTTAATGAACTCCCTCAAAAGATAGGGTTTTCTCCCTTGCGAAAAAGGCCGTTCTTCGTCTCGAACGATTGAACTCCGGAATTATGGCGGATGATTTGATTGAGAAGTGCTCGTCCCTTCGATTGGACGAGGATGATGGTAGTGTGATTGATATGGGAGATATTGTAGGTCCAAAAACAGAGGAAAACCTAAAATTGTTGCTGGTAGGGAGGCTATGCACTGCCCGTCCCTACAACGTCAAAGCCTTTAAACGAACAATGTTGAAAGTCTGGGCTTTGACAGAGGGATTAATCATTCGAACTTTAAGCCCTAACTTGTACGCTTTCCAATTCTTCCATTGGCGTGACAAAGATAAAATTTTTAAAGGGCGACCGTGTGCTTTGTATGTGATGAGATTCATGCTTGACATTGTGACTCATTGTACGGACACTCAACAGATTGATGAGGTAAGTCCTAAAACTTAATGAAATGCTATATTGATGTGATTTCTAGCCTTAGACACCTAATATTACCCAACATTGACATGTTATGAGAATTAAAAAGGTGATTTGACAAGAAAGCTAGAAAATGGACTAAATAGAAGTCATATGGGCCACATTTAGGCCATTTTGTGTTAATATGCTCTTTTGATGTGATTTCTTTCCTTACACACCTATAACTAGATAATATTTACATGTTATGAGATAAATAAAGTTCATTTAATAAGAAATGTAGGAAATGGGCAAAGTAAAGTCATATAGGCCATATTCGGGTCATTTTGAGTAAAAAGCGTCTTAAACCTTAATAAAATGCTCTTTTGATTCAATTTTAGGACTTAGACACATAAAACTAGGTTTCATTGACATGTTATGAAAAAGAAATGGTTCATTTGATAAGTAATTTAGGAAATGGGCTACATAAAAGTCATATAGGCCATATTTGGGCCATTTTGAGTAAAATGCGTTGTTAAACTTATTGAAATGATATATTGATGTGATTTTTAGCCTTAGACACCTAATATTACCCAACATTTACATTTTAAGAGAATTAAAAAGGTGATTTGACAAGAAAGGTAGAAAATGGGCTGAATAGAAGTCATATGGGCCATATTTGGGCCATTTTGTGTTAATATGCTCTTTTGATGTGATTTCTTTCCTTATACACCTATAACTAGATAATATTGACATGTTGTGAGATAAATAAAGTTCATTTAATAATAAATGTAGGAAATGGGCAAAGTAAAGTCATATAGGCCATATTCGGGCCATTTTGAGTAAAAAGCGTCTTGAACCTTAATAAAATGCTCTTTTGATTCAATTATAGGGCTTAGACACATAAAACTAGGTGTCATTGACATGTTATGAGAAATAAATAATTCATTTGATAATAATGTAGGAAATGGGCTACATAGAAGTCATATAGGTAATATTTGATAAAATACATATTGTTTTGCCTAATTAATTAATTCTTACATAATGTTTTTGTATTTCAAGTTTTGCAAGGTCCAAACGGATGGTCCGTTGACAATCAAGGAGCTTATTGAAGTTCGTGACATGTTGGCGTCTTTTATCACCTTCAACATGTAAATGGCATTTTAATTGTAAATTATTTATGTTAACTTTTGAACTATATATATTATTATTCATTATATATTTACTTACTATCATTTGTATATATATATATATAACACTTTTTTTTAATTGTATTGCGTTTGGGAATATTTATATCTATATCTATCTATCTATATATATATATATATATATATATATATATATATATATATATATTCATTCTTGTTTTTAATATTATTTTTGTATCTTATTATAATATTTAATAATATTATTATTATTAGTAATTATAATAATAATAATATTATAAATTATTTTATTTAATATAATTGCTGGAATTATAGGTTATTATTATTGCTGGAAACAGGTTTTTTTTTTTTTTTTTTAAATATTATTGCACGAAAAATGGGAAAATTTTTTTTGAGTAAAAAGGCACCGGTTAACCGGTGCCAAAACTAGGTACCACCAAAAAAAAATGGCCGGAGACTAGTTTAGGCACCGGTTAACCGGTGCCCAAAATAGTTAAAGGCACCGGTTAATCGGTGCCAAATTAGGTTAATTCACCCCTTTTTGGGTAAGGATGAGTAATTTACCCTTTAACTGTCGTTCAGATGAATACGTTAAGGCCCTGGTTGCTGGATTGGGGGATTTTGTGGAGAACGAGGATGATGCCCTTGGATTGAATAGATACAGGAGAGTTCGAATTATATTGATGTGAACAAACCCCTACGCAGATATCAGAGAGTTCGAGACAGAGGAGGAAAAGAGATAAAAGTTGATTTTAAATACGAGCGTCTGCCGTATTTTTGCTTTGCCTGTGGTGTAATTGGGCACTCTGAGAAAGATTGCCTAGCTGTGTCGGATGAAGAGAAGGAGAAACGTCTAGGTTGGGGCTATTTCTTCGAGCTTCTCCTAGAAAGGGAAGGGCAAAAGAGGTTGAGGAATTGGAGCATATTACCAAGGGGAGGCGTCAATTGTTTGTGACAAAAGAAGCTGACCTGCGCATAGATTGTATTGAGAAGCCAAGGGAACAACTGACTGTGTGTCCATAAGGAGGGAGTGTTTACAGTAGCTGAGGAAGTGGAGGGGGAGAGAGTGGATGTTGTAAGAATTAAGAGGGAGGTGGAAACAATGAGCAGGATTTAAATCAAAATGCTATGCTTACAACAATTAAGGAGCCTATTGTGAAGCCTAGTGGGGGGAGAGCGTTTAAAAGGATAGCCAGAGTTGGAGTAGGGACGTTAGGTGGGAGTGGAGAAGTAGGACTGGGACATAAAATGGGAGCTAGTTTGTTACAAGAAGTTCTGGAGGATGGAGTAACTAATGATGGGAAACGAATGAAGGTGGGGTCCGAATACCAAGTTGATATTATGGTGGAGGTTGGCGCGGACCAACCCCGTTAAGACCAATGAGTCTTTTATGCTAGAACTGCCGGGGGATGGGCAACCTTTGGTCAGTTCGCATGCTCCGTAAGTGGAGAAATCTCTATGCCCCTGACATGGTGTTCATTTCGGAGACTATGATCAGCAAGTTGGATGCGGAAGGTGTGAAAGATAGGATTGGCTATTCGAATGCGATTGAAATTTCGAGTAGGGGTAAATCGGGAGGTATTTGTTTGTATTGGAATGCTGAAAAGGTGGAATTTTCGCTTGTATCCTTTTCTCATAACCATATCTGTGGTGACGTTACAAAGAGTGGGGTGAAATGGAGATTTGTTGGATTATACGGGTGGCCAGATTCTTCAAATAAACATCGTACTTGAAAGCTCATTCAACACTTGTGTGAAAAGACATATCTTTGTCAATTATTTTTGAGGGAGATTTCAATGAAATTCTAGCGTATGATGAGAAGGAAGGGGGTTCGGATCGAGATAGAAGCGAGATGGAAAATTTTCGTGAAGTCATGGATTCTTTTGAGCTTAGAGACCTTGGTTTTTGGGGTCAATGGTGGACTTGGGAGCGGGGTGAGGCGGCTTCTACCAAAGTCCGGGAAAGGCTAGACCGATTTATTGCTTCCCCTTCATGGCTTAGACTTCACCCCGGGGTTTATGTGGGAGCATCTCTTGAGATATTGTTCGGATCACACGCCCATTTTAACTCGTTTTGACACTAACAGTGCCCGAAAGAAGAAAAATAAGAGAAGATTATTTATGTTTGAGACAACTTGGCTTCTAGACAAAGAATGTGAGGAGACGGTGCGCAAGGTGTGGAGTGAGGGAGCTGGTGATAATGTAGTAACGAAGCTGCTGACAGTTGGTAGCAAGTTGTTGGCTTGGAGCAATGAAAAATTTGACGATCTTGGGCGCAAAATTGAAGACACTGAATCAGCTCTTCGAGCTGCACAACAGGCTACGATATCCCCAGCTAGCTGCGATGAGTGTGTTCGTCTTGATAAAGAGCTTAATGCCCTCCATGAGAAGCAAGAGGCGCATTGCTTTATTCGATCTAGAGTGGCTGAAATTCGGGATGGAGATAAAAATAAGAGTTACTTTCATCATAAAGCCTTGCAAAGAAAAAAATTATGGGGATTCTTGATGAAGATAGAGAGTGGCAGAGAGATGAGAAGAAGATTGAAAAGGTGATAACCGAATATTTTAGAGGTATTTTTTTATTCGGGTGTGCCTTTGGATTTGGCTCTTGATGAGGTAATGCAGCATGTTTTCGAAGTTCTATTTCTCCAGAGCAAAATCTCAGTTTGCTTAAGCCTTATATGAAGGATGAAATATTTGCGGCTCTAAACCAGATGCACCCTTGCAAAGCCCCCGGACCCGATAGTATGCATGCTATGTTTTATTAGAAATTCTGGCATATTGTTGGGAATGATGTGACTAGATTTGTTAGCGATATTTTGCATGGCTATTCATCTCTTGACCTTGTGAATAGAACTAATATTGCCTTGATCCCGAAAGTGAATGAACCAAAAACTACTGCAGAATTTAGACCCATTAGCCCTTGTAATGTCCTCTATAAGCTTGTTTCGAAGGTAATTGTGATGAGATTAAAATTAATCTTGCCCGGGATTGTTTCGGAGAACCAGAGTGATTTTGTGCTGGGAAGATTAATTACTGATAATGCTCTTATTGCCTTAGAGTTATTTCATACCATGAAGAAAAGGAGTAATGGTAGGAAGGGTACAGTTGTTTTGAAATTGGACATGAGTAAGGCTTATAATAGAGTAGAATGGGGCTTTTTGCGCAAGTTGTTGCTCATGATGGGTTTTGATGGCAGATGGGTGAACCTAGGCATGATGTGTGTGTCGACTGTGAAGTACTCTTTCATTATCAATGGGAAAGTGTGTGGTGATGTGGCTCCCACCCGGGGCTTAAGGTAAGGGGATCCCCTATCCCCTTACCTCTGTATTCTTGTGGCAGACGCTTTGTCCCTTATGTTGCAGAATAGAGTCAGTCTGGGGTACTACATGGAGCAAAAGCAAGTCGTAATGGGCCGATTGTCTCTCATCTTCTCTTTGCAGACGATAGTCTTCTTTTTGCTAGAGCTAATCAACGGGAATGCGAAGCCATAGTTGATGTTCTCAACAAGTACGAAGTAGCATCCGATCAGAAAATTAATTATGAAAAGTTGGAAGTTTCTTTTAGCAAAGGTGTTAGACAAGATCAAAGAGATGAATTGATGAGTGTTTTGAATATGCGACAGGTGGATAGACATGAGAAGTACCTTGGAATTCCTACGGTGGCGTGGTTGGTCATTCGAAAAAAGCAATTTTTGCGGCTCTTTTAGATAGAATATGGAAAAAGCTTCAGGGATGGAAAGATAAACTTTTATCTCGTGCCGGGAAAGAAGTACTTTTGAAAGCAGACATTCAAGCTATTCCAACATATTTAATGGGAGTTTATAAATTTCCATGCTCGGTCATAGAGAAGATTGGAAGCGCGATGGCTAGGTTCTTTTGGGGTCAAAAGGGTACGAGAAGAAAGGTTCATTGGCGGAGTTGGGCGGCAATGTGCACTCCTAAATGTCAAGGAGGGATGGGTTTCCGTGATTTAAATGTATTTAATGACGCCTTCCTTGGTAGACAAGCGTGGCGCCTTGTTATTAAGGATGATTCTCTCCTTAGCAAGGTAATGAAGGCCAAGTACTACCCAAATTGCAGTTTTCTTGATGCATCTCTCGGTTATGTGGGTAGCTACTCATGGAGGAGTATATGGAGCTCGAAATCGCTTGTTAAGGAAGGTGTTATATTGCGTATAGGGAATGGATCGACAGTGAACATTTGGGAGGATCCTTGGGTTGCGGACAAGTCTAGGAGATATGTCACAACCGAGCCATGTAAAGGTTTGAACCAGGTTAGCGATCTAATTGATTTTAGTAGATTTGAGTGGAATGTGGATTTAATTTCTTCTCATTTTAACGAGAGGGATAAAAAAATGTATTCTCCCTATTCCGCTAAGTTTAAGGGAACCTAAGGACTTGTTAACTTGGGCTTTTTCAAATGATGGTTTGTACTATACCAAAACCGCATACATGCTTGGCAAAGGTTGTAACTTGGATGATTTTCATCGTGTGGAGGATTATTTGGGGATTGGAAGTAACTCCTAAAGTCAGACATTTCTTATGGTGTTTATGCATTGGAACTCTTCCTACTCGGGCCCTTCTTGCTGAACGCCACATGATTGAGGAAACCGTATGCCCGTGGTGTGGGTATGCGGTGGAAACTAGCTCCCATGCTTTGTTTGAGTTTCAGCGTGTTCTTGAGCTCTGGGATGACAATGGTTGTGCTGATTTGGTTCATAATAGGGCTGCTGGTTTGTGCGAAATGGTTGTGAGTTGGGAGGAAGTGAATGTAAAGCTCAAGCAGCGTGCGGCTTTCCTTGCGTGGTGTATATGGGGGGAGAGAAATCTGAAAGTGTTTAAGGATAAAACCACCCCAAATGCTATTCTCTTGGCTCGTGTGCACAGGTATGTGGATGAATTTGGGCAGGACAATAAGAAAATATATATGCCAGCTCCTGTGAAGCGTAACCGTAGCAGCAAGCACTGGATTGCTCCACCTAGGGGCATTGTCAAGTTGAATGCGGACGCCTCTTTAGCTGATGATGGATGGGCTGGGTTGGGAGTTGTTGCTCGTGATGATGAAAGGAAGGAGCTGTTTGCTGCGACCCGTAGAGTGAGAGCTTGGTGGCCACCTGAAGTAGCTGAGGCAAAGGCTTTGTGCTTCGCTGTTCGTATTACCAGGAAGTACGGTTACGAGGATGTAGTCCTTGAAACTGATTGCCAAGTTGTTGTGAATCGACTATCCAAAGGAGCGGTGTACTTCTCTGATCTTGACGGTATCCTAGAAGACATTTTATTTTTATGTAATGATTTTTCTTCTTTTACTTGGGCTCATGTTAAGAGAGATGGCAACAATGTTGCTCATCATTTAGCTAAGTTAAGACCCTTCGGTGTAGAATAAGTATGGGTGAATCATTGTCCCCCGGAAATTTCTCCCTATGTACTCTCGGACGCTTTGTCCATTAAATGATTACACCGTTTGGTTTTCCTAAAAAAAAAAAAAAATTAGCTTTAACTTTTAATGCTTCGACAAATAGAGTTGGACATGGGCTGGGTTGGCATGAAATCCAGTCAAGCCAATATTGGCCACTAGCCTAGGCACAAGCCCAACATAGCATGAGAGACACGCTGATAAGCTATGCATCAACATCATTTTCAAAATTTGGCATGAGCACAATATGTTGGCTTTATTATTTTTAATCAATATACAAAAAAATACAAATATTATTAAAGGATTTCACTGTTTATATATGAACTTCTTTTATGAGAAATCAACATGTGCTCAACATATCAAGACTTTTTTCAGAATAGTTTCAAATAAGGCGTGGTCGAGCACGAGGCACACTGCCTTGGGTGTGTGGGTTTGCAAAGTCTCGTGCCCAACTCCGGTACTAATGACAATGTAAATATCTGTGGAGTATGGACCAACCTAAGAACAAATTAATCCATCTCTACAAACCTATAATTGCTAATTCTGTCAATCTGTATTAATATTAGGTAGTACAATTGCACCATTTTCCTACAAGTTTGGTCAGTTATAAAGGTAACTGTCAATGGTATTGATGTTTTCTTGTCTTTATTCATATTAATTATATGCCTTTGTTGTGAGTGATTGTATTCGTGAACCAATTAACACTCATGAAATCAAATTGCTGAAAGAGATGTTTAGACAAGGATATGTTTAGCATATGTTTGCTCTAGAATCTACTGTTACACACACATACTGACATACATATATATGGTCCCCTTTTATTTTGCTCTGTAATTTTTCATACTACGTAATTTACTAAATTTCATTTACTAGAATGAGTAAATATTACTACTCGTCTTCTTTGTTACTTTGGTACTCCATTCGTATCTTAAATATTATATTGTTCAAATGTTCAATTTATCTTTTTTTTTTTTATTGGGCCGCCTTTAAAAGATTGTCCTATTTTCATTTTAGTTAGCATGATCTCCATAACTCTTCTCTATTTATACAACTATTGACAAAGCAAAATTTGAGAATATGACAATCTTTAAGGGGATGAAAGGTGCTGAGTATTTTATTTATTGTTTAAAAATATATACAAGTCATGTATGTATGTATCACGAGATCAACTATTCCAAAATTTTATGATTGTGTGTCACCATTCTATAGAGTATGAAGTTTATTTTTTTGTGATTTGCTGTAACTTTGACGAAAATGATATTAATAAAAATATGTTGCATGGAATTTTATGAGAAGAGTACATATTTTTCTACTTATATCAAAGTATATAATGAATAAAGCGGGCTAAATATTAGTAGTATTGAATTATTAATAGAGGGTTCATCATGTCACTCTTATCCCCAAGTAATGTAATCCTCACTTTGTTGTTGTTGATTTAAATCATTTAATAATAGAGAATGATCAAAATGCCAAGTATCTTGATTTTGATGAATTAAGGGTTTGTTTTCTGCTTCAAATATTTGTTGTTGTTCATGCAAATGTTGTGCATAGCTCAAGGCTATGAGACCTTGTGTCTTGGCCAACTCATATTCAGCTTCCATTATTTGTTGCCTCAATTGAGTTATTGTACCCACACTTCCATACACCGGGTCTCGAACCCGCGACCTCGCCTCCAGGACCAGGCTCTCTGCTGCCTCACTCCTCCTTTCCTCTGGAAGTTGCTGCATTTTATTCATTGACAATTTGACATCAAAACTACAAATTTTTTTGATCTAATTAATTCGTAAAACATGCTCTAATTACTAATTTTAGGTCATATATTTATATCAGAAAGTAGAATTATGGAATTCTATTAAAAATTTACGATAAATCATCTAGAAATTAATCATAGCCACCATAATCGTCATACAAATATCTATTATACATCCAATTGTTCCTACTTTAAGTTAAGCATACATTCGAGTGTACTATTTCAATACAATTTACTTATTACTAAAGTCAATTCTTAAGTAAACTTGTGGCTTTATTTCGTCATTCCACATTTTGTTTTTATAGTGATAGTAACTTTACACATGACACAAAATGTCATTTTTGAAAGCAATAATTTTGCTTTTTTTCTAACATTGAATTCTAAATAACAATGAAAATAAGACTTTTAATCCACCTAATCAAGTACGACAAGAATAATTAAGAAGTCATAATCAAACTACACGAGAATTTTAATGAATACTTTATACGTACTACGTTACTCCATCGAAAATATGAAAATAGTAAGATCCATACTCCTAAGTATTTATTACTTATATTAATATATATTACTCCGTAATAAATAATAAAAGGTACCTTTAACATCTTGGCAACATTGCTAGCTCCAAAGATTTTATGGACATAAGCAAATCTCTCGAGATTAGTTGAAGGAAAGTAGGGTCTCAAAATGCAATCTTTAGGACATCTTCTTCTTAAATATTTGCAAGCTGCACATCTTCTTGAATTTGACATTCTTTTTTTACTAGATCTTTGATTTTTATTTTATTTTCAGTTCCCTCTTTTCTCTCTTATTAAAATCTGTAATAAGATGTAGTTAATCTTGTAAGATATTATATCGATCGTAATATATTATATATATATGAGAGAATATTAGTCCTATATTAGTCACTGATTTTTGTGGAGCTAATTAGCTAGCTAAGTTGCTCTAATATTGGAAATGTATATAACGGCTAGTAAATTTTGAAATTTACTTGAGGTAATTAGGAAATTTTTTGACGTTGATATATAAGTATTAAAGTATATAGAATACTTTGAAGAAGATATATACTCCTACAAACAATAGATGTATATTACACATGTTATAACGGCTAGTAAATTTGATTTAGATTGATTAGTGGGAATTTTGTGAGGGTAAATTTGATTTAGGTAATTTAATATATTAGGTATCCCATAATATTAATTAAAAACAATGTTTAGGGAAATTGAAATTGTTTTTCAACTGCTCAACTCACTCATTTATACATTTTGTGGTTAATTCAATTTAAGGCCATTTTAAAGGGAAGATGCCCCCTTTCAATTTAACTCAACTAACAAAAAAATGTCACCAAGATTATTATATTTGAGATAATTAAAGCTAGTTGATTTTATTATTTATTAATACACGCTTTCGCTACTAAAACATGCTAGCTAGTTCATTCACCCTTTATGCAGAGTATAAAATAACAATGTACGTAAATTATGTGTTACGAGCCTAATTAGTTAAATCAAATTTTGTCCACGTAATTGTCGTTTGTGACTCATTATATTGTGAAAAGAGTAATCCGAATGCAAAATTTTGTACACGAAATTTATTTGGCCCCTCCAAAACTCTAACTAAGAAGAGCAAATACATTGTTTTACTTGAAATTTGAATCAAACTGATCCATAATTGGGCCCTGTTATTTAGAGCTGCTCTGCTGAAATCTGCTCTGATGAACCCTGCTCTGCTGACTCAATCTACTCTGCTGACACCTGCTTCGCTCGGTTGAAATCTACTCTGCTCTATTCTGCCCATAAACTCAAAAGAACAGGGCCTTACTCTATTCCGATGTAATTAAAACAATTGGAGATTGGTAGATTCTCATTCTTCATATTACAAATTCCAAAAGTTAAGAATATGACATGATGGTTTATGGGAGAATTTATGCATGATTGATTAATTTAACACAATATTACAATAATCTATATATACAACTACAAAAAAAAGAGTATAGAATAGTACAAAAATGCGGTCCGTGGCAAAGGCGTGGAAGACGCCAAAGAACTGATGAGCAAATCAACCCAGAAAATGAGCACTGATGGCTCCATCTCCTACTCTGAAACCAACAAAATTTCCTCATTTTTTAGGAGAGAGAAAATACCCCAACTCAATTATTCACAACAACAACAACAACAAAATCATTATTTTGCCTTTTTCCCCTTTTTCATTCATGGATGAATCTAGCAGTAATGAAAAAACCCCAATTTGTAACTTAGTTCAAGATCATCTTTTCTCAATTCTTCTCCTTTTACCCATTAATTCAATCCTTTCTTTTGCTCAAACTTGCAAAAAGTTCAAATCTTTAGCTTCATCTGATAATTTGTGGGAGTCTATTTGTAGAAGAGAGTGGGGTCCCACCTGTGTTGATGCCCTTAAATCTTCTTCATATTTTGCTAATAATAATAATAATAATAATGGTGAAATTAATTTTATGCCATGGATGAAGCTGTACAAGCAGGTAGCTCAATTGGGGTCTGTTTCTTGCTTAAAATTGAGTGACCCAGTTGCTCATAATTTGGGTCCTTGCCCTAGAGCTTCTCATTCTCTCAATTTTGTCTCAAATTGCTTGGTTTTATTTGGTGGTGGGCGTGAAGGAGGTCAGTTTTTTTCCGATACCCATTTCATAATTTTCTTCAATTTTGTTGTTTTCTATCATTTTTTGTATTAAATTGGATTGGGATTGTATTTCATTATTGTTTGTGATCATGTTTTTTCTGATGGATTCCCATTTTTCCATGTGATAGATTTTAATGTTATGTGTGGGATTTTTTTTTTTTCAATAATAGTTGACATTTTTTAGTTAGGATTTTGGGTGGATAATGGCATTAGATAATGTTTGAGTAATATGTCTAGGATCTGTATTTCTGCATTTTAGTTGAGAGTTTTGTTCAGTGAACTTAAATGGGTGTTGAAGTTGAACTTATTGGCATGCTTTGGAAATTGAAACATTGATAGAACTATGCTATAGGCTATGTTAGTTCGACCATCTATTCGTATGTACCCGTTGGACACTTGACACTTCAAAATGGGTACTTTGATTGTATCCCAAACAAATAAGTCAACCTAAATTGTGTGTACATCATCAGTTCATGTATATGTACTGTAAAAAGCAGATGCAAATGAGTCTTCTAAGATCACAGATATGATGATTTAATGAATGTCATGTTACTCCAATGTGTAATTTGAGAGATACTATTGCTGTGTTCGAAATTTTGTGCCTTGGATGTATTTGACATCTTAATGTGTATTCCATATTCTGTAAATATGGCAATGTTGAGAATATGTCCAGCTCATCGATCCTATTGTTTGTCCAGCTCAGCGATCCTGTCCTATTCTTATTATTTATCTTCATTAGTTAGTTTTGTGTTTCTTCTCCTTGTAATATTATATATACTGTATTTTTTGCTTCTTTTGAAGCTTGATGAGCAATAATAGAAATTACATTTTCCACCAAATTTCCTTCTTTTTTTATCTCTAGTTTTCTGGCTGCAAATCTCTTCAGGCAACCATAGTCAAATCTAAAAGTTAGTTCTGCTTATTGTTTTAGTTTCATGGGTTGAGGTCGAAGTTTTTAGCACCTCCCTTCGATAAACAAAAGCTAGGTTTGAAACTTGAACTCTTATAACGAGGGTGGAAGCCTGCAGAATTTGGAAATATGGTCAAGTATGAACATTAACACTGGGACAAACACAGAAGCACTCGTGCATTTACTCTCTCACCAATGTTATTCAGTATAAATTTGCTTTATTACTTTACCTTGATGTGTTTTTTTTTTTTTCGTTCTGCATTTTAACATCAAAATAGTGATGAAGTACCAATGTAGTCATTGAGCCTGTTTTCATTTTATTTGGAGTTGAAGAGTAAACATACTGACTCTTCTTATATAATGTCTTCTGTGAATCTTTATTGTGAGTCTCCTGTGGCTACAAATTAGTATCTCAAATTATCGGTGCTAATTGCTAAAGGCTGTTTTGAATTTCATCACTGATTTATATCCTGCTGATTAGTCTTATCGTAATATGTTCAAGGGTGTGGAAATTGTTATAGAAATTTTGTGAAAATGGCCTGTTACTTCTAGGCTTAACTAAAACATCCCTTACTGATCTACTTCTTTCTCTCATCAGTAAACATGCAGGAATAACATTGCCATACCATTTTTTTTTTCAGAAACAGAAATCATCTAATGATAATTTACAACGTAACATCATTAAAGCTCTGTTCATAGTGATGAAATAGGTCTGTTAAAGAACTACTCATTGGTCTGCTTCTTTTCCATTCAGGTCGTCATCTTGATGATACTTGGGTTGCGTATCTTGGTTACGATTTAAAAACCATATCAAAATGGCAGAAAGTGACCTCAGGAATTCCTAGTGGACGTTTTGGGCATACTTGTGTCGTAAGTGGTGATTTTCTCATACTATTCGGAGGCATCAATGATCATGGTGTCCGTCAAAACGACACCTGGGTTGGAAATATTGTTCATAATGAGACATATGGTATTAACTTGTGTTGGAGGCTGCTTGATGTGGGCTCAGCAGTACCATTACCACCACCACGTGGAGCCCACGCTGGGTGCTGCATGGAGAACAAGAGAATGCTTATTCATGGAGGGATTGGTCCAGATGGTGTTAGATTAGGAGACTTGTGGATCTTGGAAATGTCAGATAACTTCGGTCATGGAACTTGGCATGAAATTGTTACCCACCCAAAACCACCACCGCGTTCGGGACATACTTTGACTTGTATTGATGATACACAAACACTCCTTTTTGGGGGAAGGGGATTAGGTTATGATGTCCTTAATGATGCCTGGATTTTCGATGCCTCAGAGGGTCATCCAAAGTGGGTACTGGTTAGATTTGACTTATCAAACACTCCCTGGGGAATTAACCTTCCAAGAGTTGGTCATTCGGCTACCCTTGTCCTAGGAGGTAAACTTCTTATTTACGGAGGTGAAAACTCCCAAAGGCACAGAAAAAATGACTTTTGGTTGTTAGATGTGAACGCCATAAAAAAGAACCCTTTCTCATCTAGAATGTGGAGAAGACTAAAATCCCGTGGATATAAACCCAAGGCTCGCTCCTTTCACGCAGCATGCTCTGACCATACAGGCCGTCTGTTGTATGTGTTTGGTGGAATGGTCGATGGATTACTTCAACCAGCAGAACCATCTGGTCTTAGATTTGATGGTGATGTCTTTGCTGTGGAACTTTGCTTGACTGGTTGACCCTTAGCTAACTCTTAACAACTAGAATCAATCTCTCTCTATGTGGTATGTTGTACGAGAGAGACGTGTAGATCTACAAAGCAATTCCAATAAGATGTTGCAGGTAGACTTTGGTACAGGAAACTCTTTTTAAGTTGTACATACTTGGGATGGTTTCAGTTTTGCGTGTAAAATGGTTAGATAACATTTGTAAATTAGTATGGTTATGGTTATGACGCAGTTGAAGACGGGTTATGGTTTACGTTCAGGAATTTGATGCTGGTATTGCATGAACTATGGCTTTAGGCAATTCATGTCATGTTTACTAGGCACAATCTTGTACAGTATATTGTTTATGTAGCTCTTCTAATAAATAGATTGTGAATAAATTTGTAAGTGATCTATCATTTTGAATGGTTTATAGCCTTGTAATAAAAACTTGTGGTACATATTACTAGATCAAGCACCGATATGCACAACGAAAAATATTCTACAGGTTTACAAACTTTATGTTCCAACAAGTAAGATTGTCACCTGCAAGAAAAATAGACAGTTTCTGACAAATTGAGAAATGGTTGTAGACTTGTAATTTAAAGATGAATACAAAATGCCCTTGAACTTAAAGGGCTAGCCATCTCTGATTGATTCTTATATGTTTACAAGATATACACGAATCAATATGAACAAATTGAATTTTCTCATCCCCCTGCCTTTCCATTTTGACAGCAGCAGAAAATGAACATATATTTGCTCCACAGCTTCACACTAGGACATCTAACAGTGGTTAAATCATGATGAATGCGACCTACCTAAAACTTAACATCCAGAAATAATTGACAAGACTAGAAGCTTAATTTAGTTCTCCAAACTTCCCCGATGACCTTTCTGGGACCTGGATCATCAGGCCCTTTGTCTCGCTGACCAGAAGTAAAATAGAACCAACCATTCCAAAATCCAACTAGAGTTGTTTTGACACGGTAGGGAAGCTTCCCAAGCACTGACCATTTCTGTAATATGCCAAAATATGAAACTAATTAGAAAATAAGCAAATGCAAGTAGCTAAGTGCCCTGAGGCAAAATTAAAAGTGTAAGAATAGAAACTTCAGGATAATGTGTAGCAACAAATTCCTACTCAGCCTAAGAACAAGTAGTAACGAGCATTTACCAGTGTGTCTAGATCAAACCGAAAGATCTCTCCATTCAAGATCATCTTTTTCGTGTTAGGATGCTTGTCAGTTGTGCCTCCCGCAATTATAATTGAATGATTAACTATAGTCCATGCAAACTCTATATGGGAATCTGGCTTTGGCATGGGAGGCAACGTCTTCCATTTCATCTCATCGTCTAGCATATAAACATCAGCATATACCACCTACACATTGATTAAAAAAAAAAAAAAAGAGTTGACTAGGATCTTTTCAATCTATAAACAAGTCTAGAACTACTGTACCAGAGCAACAGTACATGGTTTAACAAAATGCATTGTACAATCAGGACATCATAAATCAATCACAGTAAGAAGTCTGTCTGTCAATTTTAAATACCAAGCATCACTTATTCAAATAACATTAAACAGAAACTCCTAAGTAGTTAGGATAGAATGCCAAAAAAAAAAAAAAAATCATTTAGCACTAAGCAGCTTGTCCCAGGGTAATAAGACTCGGCAAGGCCTTGAACCTGCTACAGGACACACACTCATGGGTAAGTCAATAAGTCCTAAACCTACAATGGTAATAATTTAAACATGTAAATGCATTTATTTGGACAAGTTCTTTGGGGACATGCCTGGGTTGTTCTCAACAAACCTCAGTCACGTGGCCAAGATTGAACACCAGCATCAAGATCTTCTGTGCTAGAAGTCCCGGGTAAAAATATCACCAATCCTAGGACTATCCATCCAGTTGTAGAAATAATTAACCAACAGTGGTAACTTGGATTATTGGATGTTGCAGTACTAAACACAGAAACTTAGAAACCAATTTAAACTTGCAGTTGTTAAATTGAGGAAGTTAAGACCTCAAATATTAAAAAAATTCCACAATGATCCCAAATGCAAGAGCTCAAAACAACAGATTATAGTTATTGAAATCATAGTGCCATGTGCACACATGTAAAATTATCTTAATCTTGTGCAGCAAGCTATTTTCAAGATCTTGATCACCCAGTGCCCCAAATATCACACCACGGAACAACCAAGAAACCCATTACGCTCTGGAAAAAGTAAATCATAATACCTCATGCCTGCGGGAGCACTTGAAAATTGGTGAACCAGGTTTGGCCATGAAATCACCCTCTTGACCACCAATAACCATTAGTTTGTCATCAACCACAACACAAGCTCTGGAAAAAAGGCAAGAAAATTACAGATATTTAGGGAATGAAACAGCAATGGATTAAAGGAAGACATCTATTGACAATATAATACAAATATGAAATAAAATCTATAAAGCCTACATTATCAATTCAGTTTTCAATAGTTGACTGACAAGCTGATGTTAGTGCTACTAGATTTCAGGGAAAATACAATGGTTTTCTTGCTTATGTTAAAGGAGAGATCTTGACAGAGACGTGATCAAATAACCTGTGAGGTCCACCACGAGGAATAGGTACTTCTGATCGCCACTCCTTCTCCAATGCTTTCCCATCCTTCACTGCCAGACTCCAGTGGTCTAATTCAGGTGTGTACCGATTAGACCCACTGCCTCCCATGACATGCAGTCTTCCTCTCCAAAGTTGAGTAGCTGGTGCATACCTGAATAGAATAGTTATAATTTCTTAAACTTGCAGGATAAAAACTAGTCCGCACCAGATACAGAGAACAAAGACATCACAAAATTACCTAGGGACTGGCAAAGAAAGAAGATCTTTCCATTGTCTCGTTTCAGTATCCAGCACAAAATTACGGGCTGTTGGCCCTCTGCATTGTGGACCATACTGTCCGGTGACAACATATATATATCTCCCATCGGTTACCATTCCTAAGTGAGAATGAGCCATCTCCTTAGGCATAGGAAAACTTTCTCCCCACGTATTATCTGTAAAATTGTAGACATCAACATGGGAATGCACCTGCAAACCATAAGCAAACAAACAAGAGAGGATGAGTATGGTCATGAACAACAATCTTGAGAAATTACTAAAAAGGAACTTGAGAATCAAAGTCAATACTATTTATTTAATTAACAACACTTGTAATGCAAAAGTTTTTCAGCTTATGTTTCCTAGCCAAAATGAATCACCCAAAAGATTTTGAAGAGTAAAAAACTTAATAGTACAACATATCCATGTCAAGAGAAAGGTACAGCACCATTGCCACCATACCAAAAAGTCTCATCCAAATTTAGCTGACAAGTTCGAAATTAGGTGATCATGCATTGCAGCAAAGATTATAGATCAAATAGTACACCTAATTAATTACAAAATAGCTAAAATACTCACAAGATTAATGGTTCCATATCCAGCAAAAACGTACAAGAGATTCTTAATCTGTATGGCAGCCCCGTCTAGACGTGGCACCGGAGCTGTTGGCATCTTCTCCCAATGTAGTTCAGGACCCGGCAAGTCCGCAAAAGTAGCCGATAAAATCCTTTCTGGAGCTCCATCCTTTCCTTTATCTTTACCCTTTGCCTATAGTAAGATAATCGGCAATGCACAGCTAGATCAATTAAGCTTGAACAAGATAATTAAGCTAATTGACAATGTTTCCATAATGTAACTTAATTTTAATAGCAACATTACCAACTTATAGCTAATCAATCGAATCCATCCCTAATTTTGCATTAATACTAATATCTTAGCAGCATTAACCCATGATTATCAAACGCCCCGCCATAACAATCATTCAAAATTTAAGAGCTATAATCAACAAATTCAAAATCATTGCTCCCAAAAATTATTTACATAAAACTAATAATAAATTATAGGATTCAAAATCATATTAAACTAATCAAATAACTAGGGCAATTAAATTGAAATAATACATCATTATTATGATAAATAAGAGCATAAATTAACAACTAATCAAATTGGGAGCATAAACAGCTTAGACTCAACAAAAAACAAAAAATAGGGCAAAAATTGGAGAATAAGGAAATCGAATCAAACCTTAGGAAGAGAAGTTAGGTTAAGATTAAGAGATTGTTGAGAAGGCCAATTATCAGAAACATATCGAAAAGCGGAAAACGAAGAAGAAGAAGAAGAAGACGACGCCCATAAGAGATCTACAACAACGCCAGCTCCAATCAAAGCAATAAATGATACCAAAATCACTATTTTAATAGACAATGATGATGAATGTTTCTGGGTATGTCTTCCAAATTTCATCGCATGATTTAGGAGAGAGAAATTGAGGTAAGAGGAGAGAGAAAGAAGAGAGAGAGAGAGAGTGAGTGAAGTAGCAGAGATCGAAGGAGGAAGAAGATGAAGAAGAAGAAGAAGAAAAGGAGAAAGCGCGGCACACAGGAATGGGCACTTGATTTGTCGGTACTCTCCCGTCGTTTTTTTTATTTACTACGCGGCTTTCTTGCTCTGGTTTCTCATCCAAAACGGGGTGTTTGACCGTTTGGTATGTGAAAATGAGAACCTATAGTAATCTATCGGCCTTTTCAACATAAACTCTGAGTTTTAATTTAATTCACTATATATGATTGAAAGCTTTTAAATTCACCATATACTAGTGAGTTTAACAAAAATATCACCAAATGTCCTTTTTCTTAACTCCGTTAGTTATAAGAGTAAAATGTTCCACATGGCAGCCTTTAATTGGCTCTTATTTAAACTAATCTACAAATCTATCTATAACTATAACTAAAATAGAAACTGCTGACGTCATCTTTCTCCCAAACCTGAACACATGTCAACTTATCATAAAATTTTTTCCCACCCAAAACTGTATTGCATGTTATACAAAAAATGATCACTTGATAATACTTTATACACATTATATACGTAAAAAAAAATTAAATTAAATTAAATGTATAATAATAAACTACTTTTTTCTAAGATTGAGTGATATAAATGGGTATAGTTTTTTTTGTTCTTATCCCAAACCATACATTTTACCTCAATCAATTCAAAGTAAAAGTACTATTTTCCTAAAAAGTAGGCATACTAATTACTAAGGGAGTTGTTAATCTACTTATCTTTTTTTTTTTTTGGTACTTATCCCAATAAAGTTAGAGAATTTGCAATTTTTTGGGTGTAAACTCCTCATTTACGGGAAAGAGTTTCATTAAATGTACTTTTCCAATAGAATGTATATGTGTACACGATCCTCTGAATTTTAGCAATTTTATGAATTGATAAAATATTAAAAATATCAACATCATAATTTAAAATTTTAATCAATTAATGTTTACTATAAATAGATGGGCATCTTAGGAAATCATAACTTATCCTTTTTATAAAAATACGTAGTAACATAAGTATGCATCACTTCTATTCTTTATGT